GCGATGACATTGTCAACGCTACCCGTGCTGTAGGTCTGGCAGACAGGATCGTATCGCTTTAGGAGCCCATTGATCCGCGAAGCTGTGAATGTGGTAAGTCTCCGATAAATACGACAGATAATTGTACTTACTGAGGGCGGGAGGAGGACCCTTGGCGAAGAGCTCTTCAGATGTGAGGCCGAGAGACTCCAAGGACGGCAAACCAGGACCTGGGATGACCTCGACGACTGCCGCAACTGCGGAGGTGAGTGCACAAAGGAGGCCAGCGTAGACGAAGACCTTGTTGAACATGTTTCGTCGGGTAGATGAGGGGAGATTTGAAGTGGTCGACTGGTGAAAATATGGAGAGGAATGGCTCCCTTTTATCCCAACTGAAAAGACTATTTTGGGTGTGGTACGTGAGCCTTGGACTCCGCCGAGTTGTCATTATACCTGATCGTTTAGTGAAATCTGACGGTCGAACATGCGCCAGAAACTGACCGTGAGAGCTCGCATCATCTCTCAATCTTTCAAATGCCGTATTCTACATGCAATGAATATGGTAAATACACCAATCAGAGGCCACTGATTCTCAATATTCGGTGGCACGACATAGTATTCAATGCTTAAGCTCCGGAAATTCGAGGGGTAAAATGATCTCTGTCAGCCCATGTAGTGAGTGTTGGACTCCGCCATCAGGAAACGCAAGAATCGTATGAGACGCTGATCTTGCAACTATAGAGCTGTCATACGGCCGCTCAGCCATCCAGTTGTCAAAGCTTCACTCCGGACATCTTCAGAACACAGCCCCTTCGGATCTGTGAAATAGAGCATCCAAAACTATTGCAGACTCTCAACGAGCTTAAAAACACGTACCGCGCTGCGAATTATAAGATGTTCCGCGCACCTGTTTTCTTTTATGATAAAAGGTCAGTGCTTCATCATCTTTGAAGCTCTACCCAGCTCAATGTTCGCTCAATTGCGATCCTGTAACTCTCTGATGGAAGCCGATTGAAACGGCACATTGATACGCGCTGTGCTTGCTTGTAATGGAAGCTGCATATTCCAAATGCCAAAGCCTCAGACGCAGCATGCGTCATCCAACCATCATCACGAGCTCAAGCATTCCGCAATGACAACATCCGTGTGATCTAATAAATAACCCAGGTTTGCGCGTAATTGGGTGCTTTCCGTTGACGTCGGGAGGGTTATGTCATGCCATGCCGCTCTCAACTGTCAGCTTAGGGATGCCAGCTGACTCTAGGCGACCAGACATCGCAGGGTGGCGTCTCCGCCATTGAAGAGGTATTGATGCCATCTGTCTTTTGGCAAAGCGTGATGCTAGGCACGGTGTGACATGAGTCAATCTGATCTATTTCGGTGCCGTCGTTCTTATGAAATTTGGGTCCCCGTTCCTGTGCCGCAACCAAGCCGCGACCTAACTCACCGCATCACATTACACATACGGCTTTACTTCCGACATGAGCAAGGGTGCATGATACTACAACTAGATTGAAGATGGGCTGAGTGGTCTGTCCGTTATCTTAAGTACCAATATTCTTCCCAGTCATCGATGCGGACCAAGGCTCTCTACAGGCTACAGCTTTCAGGACGTGTTGCATGACGGATCTCCAATGCTCCTCCTCTTCGACCTAAGTATGTAGCTTGGGGGCATGTGGCAGATGTGACGGCCGGCGCGGAACCAGTCGCAGCGTTCGGCATGCAAAAAGTGTATGCGGACTTAATGACGGCGCGTAATGTGAGTACGAATGGATCCGATCGGAGCTTATCTTGTTGGAACAATAAAGTAGACGCACCCAGTGTGACTCTTAGCTATTATCTGACCTGTAGCAGTGTTCTTGCATATGTTTTAGAGTATTCCGCTCAGATATGATAAAAATTGAAGCTGCAGCTGACGCTGTACGATAATAGTCAGACGCTGATGCTAAAATTGAGAACCCAAGGGCGTTTTCACACCAGGCCGATTGCCAAGCTGTGGCGTGATGGAATCTAGTTAACGGCCCTAACGCGCTGACTGCTGGCGTATTCTGCCATGCCGAGTCGCAGGCGTGCTCGAAACCTGGGCCGGCGCGTTGGCCTCGTAGAGGTGTACCATTGATGTTTTCGCGCGAGGCCAGTTATGGCACGCTAGAATCGAGGATGCCGGGAAAGACTGGAGTGGGAGGCACAGTGCAAGTGCGTACTAGATACTCAGGTAATCGGACTCGGAGCGAACGGAGGCGGACCAAAAAGGAAACGGCGGGATCCGGAAGCGCCGCTGCTCTCTCGCTTCCAATTTGAGATCCATGTTCATCCTAGTGGGTTACAATACAGAACTGCCTTGCGCACCTAATTCGGTCACACATATTGGCAGCAGTCAGCCCAGATCTCGCAGGAGGCTCTGCTATCCATCGTGATTATCCCGCGTGGAGTCTAGATACGGTTGTGTCGCTCGCTAGTGGACACGATATTCACTTTATTTCGCTCATCACGGTCGTTTCTTGCGTTCGTTGGCAGCGACGTTATCAGACTCCGGAATTCGCGCGACAGGTATGCCAGTCGTACATGCACGACGATTGACCGCCGGACAGGACGCATATGGTAATGGGTAATATTGAAGTAGACTACTGGTACGCGTTGTCCTTACGTTGTCACTCTATAATGACGCCTTACTCCCATCTGGGAGTAAATTATACTTGAAGTTGGAAGCGCTTGTAGCCTCACTGAAAGTTGATTGGTGTATTCTCGTACCCAACTCGCCCTGAATTGTAGGAGAGCGTATTAGGTCGACACTGCTGTTCATATTCATGCGCCAGTCAAGAAGTTAGCGCGTATCTTACGGCATGTCGAGTGGTAAGTATATCGTACCTTATGCTAGACGGACTGGCGACAGCGTCACGACATTCGCAGGGGAACAGCCAAGAAAAAATGGCTTTTCGGTGATGGTGTGCATATTCTCAGCAGACATCACCGATTTATTCCATCACCCACTAACTGTCGATTCTCCCCTGCTTCTCCGCACTAGGTCTACCCTTTTGGCCACTCAATTGGGATTTGGATTCGATCGTTAGCCTATCTTCAGGTTCTGCCCCTCGAGGCTCAATAAGCAGAGATGACTGGTATTTGTCTCTGGTTTAGCAGGCGTTGGAAGGTGCACATGTCGTCAGAGACGCGTCGACGAGTGCAATGCGTGGACGACCTCATTAAGATCCCCGTTTGGAAGTTTGTCATCCTGCGAAGGGATCAGAGGCTTACGTTCCCAAACGGAACAAGCTATGCTAGGATCTGAGGTAACGACTCGGGCACCAATGGCCTTAGTCTCTTGCTCTGCGCGCGTGTGCATGCGCTCATGATCATATATAATACATTAAATTCAGTGTAGTAGATGTCGATAGAAGACCACCAGTCGCACAGCGCATGGTATGGGTCACCGGCTCCCAAGTTGTAAGGCCGATCGATTAGCTGTTGCAAGCCGACGGTAGAGCAGTGATATGCATTGGCAAGCTGAAACACCCCATTCGCCTACCCCCATCCACTCCGTGGCATCTCTGCCGACGACTCCCATCCCTCTGCCAAGTCCACCACACTACGAAGTCCCACTTGAACCAGAGGCAGGAGAGATGCTTGCGAGGAGAGACGCTGAGTTCGCGACACAGAATCAGATGCTACGCGCGCGGAGGACTCTGCGATTACAATCTCACTCTGACATTGATTAAGATCCGATAGACTATGATATCAGGAGGTAGTATTTGTATGTTGTAAGGTAATTTTACAGTAGATTATGGTCCAAATTATAGTGACTTAGTACGTTATGGGGGTGCTAGAAAGACAGTCCACACACGATGCATTGTATACCCACGCGGAAAATCCGTATGTGACTAGTTGGGCCCGACAACGACCTGCTTGGTCTTGTTGAACCCTGCGATAGTCTCATTCGAGATCTGCAAGTGCGCCTGTACAAGCTGTGGTGGAATCAATGCGAGCCACTGCGAGAACTACAAGTCAGCGCCAAGAGCTAGTAGAACGATGTGACGCGTACCTGAGCAAGGCTGACGTCTTGGAAAATATCTGCACAAGGAGATCGTCTCGGATTCTTATAGCTAAAACAGGCTTCGACGCACCTGTGTTAAAGATCTCGAGGAACTTCAGTGTGTCATTCCCGATGTTCTCAACGTAGTGTCCTAGCAGCGCTCTATCAATGAGCGCCATCTGCGTACAAACATGAAGATGAGAGGCATACCGTATGTGGCAGGGACGAATCCAACATCTCCAGCATACACAAAGAGGGTTAGATCAAAACGGAGACATGACGAGGACTATGGCATGTCTGAAAGTCGAATGTTTGCGCAATGCTACTCGACGCGAATTCCGTTACCCGGGCCGTGCCAGAGCTGAAGCGGAGTGAGTTCCAAACTCGTAGTTTCCATAGACGAGGCGGAGAATTACAGATAGTATGTCCATTCATCCTCAGTTGGATGCCACTGTATCAATTTCGTCAATCATGACAGTGAGCTATGGATTCACCCAAGGCTTACATGGAGCTCCCTGTGATTGCGTCAGGAAAATGCATTAGCCAAAGAGGTAGACGATGCATACCGCATTCCTCCAGGCTCGACAGTCACCTCTGCCACGGCAATTGCTGTCGCAGCTGGGAACGTCCGCGAATCAACAATCTTGACAGACCCGCCAGCAAGCGGCGTCGTCGTCATGTTTGACATCTTGAATGTGAATGGATTCAGCACTTGCCCGTACGGGTCCTCTACCACATGAGCACCTGGGGATGGGGAGTCTGACAAAGACAGCATCAGGGGCCGCACAATACAGAAGGGTTCGCGATACTTACTGCCAGGGAAAATGTACAGCTCCTCGCCAGGAAGTTGATCCCATGCAGAGAGACTTGTACCAAAGTTCTTCGCAATCACCTCTTTGGGCGTGTGTGCAAGCCAGTCTGTCAGCTGGAACGTTGAGTAGTCGCTAAAGTCACCGTTGTCAAAGACCTAAATACAGAATTAGAGAGAAATCAATGTGAATGGGCAAGCGTACGACATACGAGCAGGAACTCAACTCCATTAGGATCTTCGTTCGTTGCTTGGAGACTGTGCGGGATGCCTGAGGGGAAGTACCACAGATCACCGGGGCCCTAAAAGATTCGACAGTCATCAGACGAAAGGGAATCGACTCTGGAGGCGGTATACGTACAACATTTCCAAGGTAGTTCCGTCCATCTTGGTCAACCGAGGTCACTTGCATGTTGCCCTACAGATCTTTAGTCATTACATGCTGACGTATTGCGTTAATTGAGCATGCATACACTAAGGACATACGCCCACTATGTCCAGGGATGTTAGTGATCTGACCAAGAACTGTGAAACAGAGCACCACTCACTTCGGCTGTTTTGTGCCAATGAAGCTCTCTGTCATCGAGAAGGTAAGTACAACGTGATATGGAAGGAGGATGCAGCCGCGTACCGAATTGCGCCAGCCTCAAGGCGCATGTCAACGCCAGCCATAGCTACAGAAGGTTCAGGCACATTTTCTATGCGATCCACACATGTACTCACAGGTCGCAATGGGCATCTGATTGACTGTAAATGCATACATCAGACTCTTCATCCCATTCTATCCCATGATATTGCACGAAATACTCACTGTTTTGCTGTCGTGCCCAGCCGCCCGTCTGTAACCGCATTGGACTCAAAGTCATAGGCCACTTGATGTTTCCGCCAGGGCTGAACAGAGATGGATGAACCTCTGCGCGGATAAACAAGTCCATTAAAACGTACATCACTCCACTGTCTGTCGTCGGTGGTGCGATAATGTCGGGATTCTGTGCCTGCAGCGCCATGTTCTGCTGGCCGAGAATTGTCGTACCAAGCGTGCCCCGCATCGGCTGCAAATACATCGTGTTGCTCGATGTGCCCTCAACCCTGACAGGCTGCAGGCTCGAATCGCTAGTAGCTGTCGTGTTCCACATCACATAGTTCGGGTCGTCGCTCGCCAGGGCGACGGTCTCACTCGCCGGAATGGCTGACATCGTGGCCGACCCGGACGCGGTCCTGGAGCTGTTGCTCACTACGACCGTGCCGTCGAGCGGCGTCGGGAGAGCAAGCGTAGACGTAGCGGAGAGAAGGACGGCGCACAGTACAAACGACAAGAACTTCCCCATGGTGAATGAATCGAAGAGCGATCGAAAGCCGGCTGAGAGAACAGTGGAGAGTGGGCTAGGAGGATTTGGAAGAGGATGGTGGCTGGCTCTTTCTGCTCAATCTCACCACCTTATATCGTGCGCGAGCCATGGCTCACACCCTCAAGTGATGTCCGCCAGAGACGTCCCCAGTAGCATCCGCACCCGCCCAAGCGACAGCTGTCTATCTGCAACACATGGAGCATGTCATCCATGAATCGGGGTGCCCTTACAGGATCTAGCCTGCAACTAGGGGTGTTCGTTACACCAGGGATGCCATGTCTATTCTTGAACCATGAGCACAGGATGTCAGACAGACACTATGGGGTGTCTTACCAGAATCTGCGATGGGCTTCTCAAGATACAACATCGGAGGACCTGTCAGCATTGGTGTCGATATTAAATCGAATACATCAGAGGCTAGGGGCGAGTCCTGTGCCCAGCTGCAGCCCATCTAGTGGCGCCCAGCACTACAAGCCTAGCATCACACCCTCCACGCTACATGGTACCTTCGAGAGATGATTCCACTTCATCCACGGCGAAGAATCTTGGGCGACCAGTGGGAGATTAGGGATTAGAAGGATGTGTCGCAGGATTCGCACTACGGAAGATCCACTAAACATAGCGGGCTTGGCGCTGCTCCCTCCGCTCAAGTTTGAGTGTGTCTCTCAGGAGCTGGCCTACGAACGAGATCGCGACACTCCGTCCGTGTCTTCGCCTGAGGTTAGGATCAGTGTGGCACTATAAAATCCAGTCTCGCCTCTCAAGATCCTGGGAGAATATGTTGTCTTTATGCTGTGCGTTGGCACAAGATGCCCTCGTCAATGTGTGAACAGAGCTCTGCAGACGTTTAAATAGTATGTACCAGCATCTGGACAAGACTGAAGTCCATGCGGGCGGCAAGTAATCCGGGGAAGACGGAGAGAGTACGCGGTCATGCCCAGGCAGCCACTGATGCGCTGATGGCTTCTGAGCCCCGCCCCGACTCGGAATCTCAAACTTGTTCGTCTTATGTCTGTTTCTTGGAAGGTATTTCTACGAAGATAGCTATCCTCGAAATGTGGAGGAAACTTACTGGATGATCCAGTTTCGAAATTTCCTCCCAGTAGAATCAAAATATTGAATATTCGTTGAGTCGAGACGGCTGTTGTTTTAAAGTGGGGCTGCGTTGTCATTCGATACAACAGCACCGGACCCCGCAGGGACCACATGAATGACCGTACCGCAATGCATGGGGATTCACTTGTATTCATTCTCACAAGAATAACCCTGACCGCCAAAGGCTTCTGAGGCCAAGTACGATGCAGTCCAGCATGCGACGCTCAGCGCGCAAAGTGACATTTGAGCGCCACCACAATAGCGGAGACAAAACCTCCGCCCCAATCAGTGCAGGCGGAAGCGCGTGCCGGACTCCGCCCCGCAAGTCCGTGGAGTCAGTGACGGGAATGACCTTCGTCCTACTCCGAGCTTTGTCGTACACGCTAACGCGTTAGAAATGCCGTTACGCAGACAGCACGGATGGGATAATCAGTTCGTCTTTCCAACTTAAGAGGCCATCCCGCGGGGTGAATCTTCCGACATACTCTTCCAACCATGCTATGGGTCCGTTCACGAGACTGCTGGCAGTCAGTCTACTTTCTACAGCCACCGTGCAGGAGCTACCTCACCCAGCCTCGTTCCTCGTCCTTTTTCTAAATAGTCTTATCGGGTACATCCAGATCCTACTTGTATGCAAAATACATTCCGGCCTCGTTTCGTTTCATGGCACTTGGTCTCAGCACCCACATGGAGAGCGATGTTGTGCATGTCCCACTCCGAGCAGGTGCTCTCTCTTCTTAGCTATTATCTAGCCTCGGCACTCTTCCGCTGTGTAAAATGGCATCAAATCCTTGATATATTCAAGAGCAGAACGACTCGTGACATATTCTCAGTGGGGTCGGCGACTTACATTACGGACAATGCGATTGACGGCTCTCGCAACCTGTGTAATGATGCCGCAGCATTTCTTGCCTGTGAGATAAACCCAATCTACCTACTTGATCGCACTATCGCTGAGACTGGATCATTGTAAATGGACTATCGTAAGTCTCTTCTCGTATAACCTTCACTCGCCCCGCTGAATTTCCGTATTCTTGACCGTGCGCCTCTCGTATCAGAGTTTGCTAGACCGCTGATACAGTCCTTTTACAGTTGATTCTGCGCAGAGGGGATATGTGTAAGCCCATGGAGCTTAGCAGGTCCTGCGCATTACACATATGGCTGCCGCTGGCTGAAAGCGTAACCTTTCAGTTAGAATAACATTCTAGCGGAATAGCGGTGACTTTGGATGCGGAGATAGATGTTCAGTACGTCCCTTTCGCGCGTTGACAGTGTATATTGATATCCGAACATTGGGAGCCAACATAGTCCAAGACCCTCAGACCACTAGAGAGAAATTACAATTGACATTGCTGCGTAGTACGCGGGCCGAGATTAGCACCAGACAGACACCATCCAACTTGGAAGGGTAAGGTCCTCGCTCCGATGTCAAATGCGTTGTTTCCCCGTATAACGATGCGTGTAAAGGAGATGCAAATTAGACATAAGAAGAAAGATATGAGGTGCGCTCAGCGCTCAACCTAGACCCCTCACCAAGACCAATCTCGCGGCCTTCGCATTCGTCATACCTCTTGGCTAAGCAATTTTCGCAGCGTACACTATCCTCATAACACATATTCAACGTGGCTCAGTTCGTTTCCGCCTGCAAGTCGGGCGCTCCATCCGCCTTGGTCAGCAAATCCACAATGGCCTCTAGACTCTTGTTTCCCCCGAGACGCGCGAGCTCGTGGCGAACCTGCTTTTCAATTTTGTAGAGCACGTTGCGAGTATACTCGAGCGATCGAGTGCGGTTCTCGAGGTAGGAGATTGCATAGTTTTTGAGCGTCGGTGTGGAGGGCCGCTTCTGCAAAATGTCTGGATGGGCGCGCATCAGTCGTGATTGGGGTGAAGGCCGAGGGGCGCGTACTCAGTAGCGAATGGTTCTTGCGATCGGCATTCACACCGTGCACAATGGGGAAGGAGAATTTTCCCTTGGTGAGGTCTTCTGCGTATCCTTTGTTTGTAGCGTACTGGGAAGATGTGAAAGTCAGCGAAGCTCAAAGGACAGGTCGCACCGCACACCTCTCGTGAACGTAGGTTGCAGTAGTCATTGCGAATCTGGAAGAATATACCAAGGAGATTCACAAGGGGTATGTAGTCGCTGTAGGGATGGGATCAGTCTCGTTATGTTAAGCTCCACTGTGGCGCACACGTCAAAGTTCCGTCTGGCGTTCGCTATCATGAGCCTAACAGACAGTCGAAAGAGTCCGCCCGTTTCTAAGGAAATGTCACCGTGAGTGCGCTCAAGGAAATATTTCCAGACTACACTGACTGTTGTTGACCATGGAGATGTATTCTTTCTCGGAAGGACAAGTGAGCGTGTCTCTCCATAGGAGATCAAGACCCTGCCCTCGGTGGAGGTTCAAGAGCTCGTCTGAAGAAAAAATCAGTGCCATCCTTTGCCCAGAAGATGTGTGATTACCGACGACGATGGCGTGGACGTCACATCTAGGGGACGAAGCCTGCAGCTCCGAGATTTCTTGAAAGGCTTGGAAGTACACATAATTGGCTGTGTTGATGACCTGCGGGATTCCATAAATCTTGTGGGCGACTGGCGAGTGGAGCAGATGGTCATAATGGCTTGTAGAGATTTGTGGTATCTGACAGACCTACCGGGAATTCCACGGCGTATCTGCGACTCGTTTTCGACGTCATCGACGCTGTAGAATCTCCGTCGGAACAGATGTGGGCGGAAGGAACAATTGAACCTACAGTAAGCTTGCGTTGTGCAGCATTCTGACGATGCGACTGATGGTCTTCAGCTTGTCCTCGCAGACATCGAGCCAGATGTTGAAGGCGTTTATCATCTGTGTGCGGATTTCCTTTCCGGCCTGTGATGTGATGTAGGCGTACGGTTTCATAATACTCTTTAGGCACAAGGATCAGCACGTTCCAAAGCTCGCGGTCGACACGCATCCCCAGCGTACCTCCTCGTCTGCCTTGTGCCATTCTGCATAGTGGCAGATGATGGAACTGAGATCATCATAGTCGACGGTGGTAGACTCTGGTTGGATGGCGTCAACGGATCCCATAGCTGTACTGATCGCGAGGACAGAGATGAAATGCAAGAGGGACGTTCTGGATAAGGTGAGTGAACAAAGTATATCGGAGAACGACTAAGGTTCTCCAACAGTACTAAATAGTCCTTCGCGCGTGCACAGCGCAGCCTGACGGTGACTTGAGGTCGGAGATGCCTCAGGATAGTTTTACTGGAGTACTGCTAGACACAGAACATATAAGGAAGAGAATTATGGCCGGATAGTGATCCATCATAATACTTAGATGGTCTTTTGTAGTCCGTGCATGTTTCACGCAGTATTAGGCGCGCAGGCCTCAATCTGCGACAGGGCTCTGGGCTAATTTGACCCCAGTTTACTGTCGTCCCACCCTGGATGTGCGAAAAAAATCAGTCACACACGGTGAAATAGCCAGAGATAAGTGGGTGCATTTCAGCAGAACTGGTGTTGCTGCCCAGTGCTCACTGCGTCTGAGTCGGAAGCAGTCTCGATCTGACGCCGATCATAATTCATAACGCGCCGGGCCCCTTGGTGCTCGCTAGCTTTGTTCTGTCTGCCACACTCTCTTCATCCCGAATGATGACGGTCTTTGTGCAGCACAAACCTACAGGCAAGCTCAAACGATCCGGAGATTCAAGATTCAATTCATGTCTCCACCCATGCGGCGCCGCAAAGCCGGAGAAAAAGACTCTGGCTTTAACTCTAGCTCTAGTACGCACGACGTGCCCACTTCAGCACTGACAGACTAGGATGGTCTTGCTAACTATAATGGTGGCTTTCCGGCATGCCACTGAGGGAGAATTATGGTGGGTCGGCCCCAGTTCCTAGCTGGATCTGCCTCCTCGCGGAGATGATCGGGATGTCACACTACCGGCTGCTCCACGATACCCATTGTGCACGAGTGCTGTTGCCATATGGTAGAGCTAGGGGAAGAATACGAGCGCCCAGTAAGACTTCTATGTCCTCCTCTGCTTATGGCGCACTGAATCCGACGCGAAGTGGACTCCTTTCAAGTGCAAGCCTATGTGAACACCGCACCCCCCGACGAGCGGGTCGACGAAATGGAGCTCGGCACGATCATGCTCGTACTGATCTTCTCGATCCATACAACACGATCGCATGTCTCCAACCGAGGTCAAACCTGTGATTCGAACCGCATTTGACCCGTGCCACGGTATGATGATATTGAATCGATAAGCTCTACCCGTCGGCACGCTCGCAAGCGAGCGAACGGTTGCAGACCCATGCACCGCGATAGTGACTCGGGTGCACACAGCGCCGGGCAAAGAAACCCGTAGCGCGTCCATCCAGCGAGGCCTCCAGGGAAAACCAAGCTTGAGCTAATCCAAACCAGCCACACGTAACACGTCGGACAAACGACAGATGCACATAGAGCTGCCACTATCTACAGTGTCTTCCCATTGCGCCTGAGTGCACTGGTTTAGCATGGTGGGAGTTGCAACACAGGTGCCGCCCACCATGGACAAGATATAGTAGGCAGCGGCGTAGGCCGGATGACTGCCAGGAAAGGCGGGCTGAAAGCCTGAAAGTGCTAACTGCGTTCTAGCGCCTTCATTCATTGCTTCTTGATTCTCCTCCCTGCCTCATGCTGTTGAGATAGTATCTCCAACATGAGGCACAGTTCTGTCTCTAACTTGTTGGGCTATAGAGCCTCTGAATCTGAGCCAGCAACTTAACACAGACTGCTGGATCCAGCTCAGCAGTGCAAAGACCTATAAATGCCATGAATGTGAGACTGTCATGGTGGGTCTGTGGAAGGGATGTTAGGTATTATTGAAAGTGGATGTAGATGTTCAGTATGTCCCCTTCATGCATTGGCAAGTACACCAATGTCTGAACATTTGATGCCAGCATAGTTCAAGAGAACGTGATTGATGCTGCTATGGGTCTGTCAAAGTATTGTCTTGATACTTGACTCAAACCACAACCCTAACCCCAAACACTCACTGGTGGTGAAGGTAGTTATATAGATTGAAGCTGGTGGACTTGGACTATAGGAGCTGGTAAGCTCAGGGTGAGGATGAGTAAGTTGATGTCAAGGTATCATCCTGATACTTGACTCTTGCTCTAATCCTAACCCCTTGACACTCACTTGTAGTGGTAGAAGGTTGATATAGTTTGGGGGGATGCTTGGACTATAGGAGCTGGTAGGCTCAGGATTGAGGATGAGTACGTTGACGAGAGTAGACGAGTATAACAAGTCTGCCCTCTCAACACTGTATTGCTCTGGTAT